CTAATAAGAGCGATGGCCTCCAACCTAAGAGCGATGGCCTCCAACCTGGAAGCGATGGCCTCCAACCTGGAAGCCCAATCTAGAGGCGATGACCTTCAACCTAATAGCGAGGGCCTCAACCTAGAAGAGATGGCCTCCGACCTAATAGCGATTGCCTCCCACCAAAGCTTGTGATCTTCAAACAGTTAAAAGCTAAGGAAACCCGTCTGCCGTCTGCCTCCAGCTGCTCATGAGCCAGCTGAAGCGTGTCCAACCTCAGATCTCGAAAGAGATTCCGACAGCTGGTAGTGAAGTGAATGAAGTCTTGCAATTTAGCTAGTAGAAGCAAGTGCCACGCTAGTAGTAACAGGTGCCTTACTAGTAGTAACAAGAAGCTAGTAGAAGCTATTAATTACCATGCTACCTAGACCCGCTGCCTATCATTGTTCGCACTGGGCTCAGTCTTTGAGTCTCCAACTGCTTTTGGACACTCCCATGATTAGAGTCCAAAATACTGGCACCTGGCCAGATTTCATAAGATCCGCATTGGCTCCGTCACCATTCTCAGTTTTCTTCGCTTTTTGTTGTCTCTTTCATCTGAGAACTAGGTCGGACAAAAAGTCACCAAGGATCTCAGCTTCTAACCTTGAACCTCTCAGCTTCAGCACGAGACACCCTTCGCTCTTGCCTTGCTTCAGCAGCGCTACATCACTTTCTCGGAGAGTTTGCTCCTGTTTTCCGTGGGTCAAAGCACGAAAAGGACCGGCGCTACCTGATTGACAATTCCTAAATCCAACATGTTTTTTGGGGGTCTTGAAGACCTACTAGGAACAAGGACGCTACTAGGGGCTCCTGGCCTTACTACTAGGAACAAGAAGCTACTAGGAACAAGTGCATCGCTTCCAGTAACAAGTGCCTTACTACTAGGAACAACATGGGCACCGCACGTTCACCTCCACTCTCCTCCACCAGTCTTCCAGCCAGCTCTTCAGTGCGAGACCTTGGTCTTTGGCTTTTCAGGTGACTGAAAGGCCGGTGCTTTCCAAAAGGTGATGACCCATGACCCTAAAAGTGCCTTTTGGGACGAGGCTTGGGTCGGGTGTCTTTTCTCGTGCTAAAAAAATATGCTTTCAAGTGCTGGCGGCCTAGGAATTGCTGTCACAGGTGATCGATCCACCTTGCCGTGTTTGCTGGGGCGCTAAAAGTCTTTCAGAAACGAACTCAGATCAGCGCGTGACTCACTGGTTTCTTCGCAACATCTTCCCACTCAGAGGCTCCTACAAGGCCTCTGACACATCTTCGCTGCATCGTTGCATCTCCGCCTTCAGACATCGTTCGTTCAGACTGACCGCATGGACGACTTGGAAGTCTGAACATTAACGCCCAACCGGAAAAAAGACGCTGCTTGAAAGTTGTCCACCTCGTGGAGGCCATCACTAGTAGGTTGCAGGCCATCGCTACGAACGGAGCAAGGACGCTACTGGGTGGAGGTTTCGTTCCCTCGGGACATCTCGGGACCCTTGGGACCTGAAGGACTTTGGTCATCTTCACCTCCTCCGCTTGTCGGCCGTGTACCACCTGGCAGACTAAACATAGGTCTTGTGCAGTCACTAGACCATACCAGTACAATGCAAAATCCCCTAGTGAGAGGAATTAAAGTAGTTTACCAAATTGTTCCATACCACATAAGCAAGCATCTCTGATAGAAGAAACTACCCTTGCTCATGTGGCTATGTGGCTGGATGATGAAGTGGGCAAGAAGTACCACACGTCCAAATAAGACTGATACAACATATAACCTTCCCTTTTTGTGAGTCCTTCATGTTGGTTGGAAGTGTGAGTGGCTTGATACGTTGAAACCGAGTCTGTGATATGTCGAGACGATATGTTCCGCCTCCAGCTGCTGGTCATGATCCTTCAGAAGGGTTTCCAGCTGCGGCCTTTGACCGAAACCGTGTCTACTGGAGTACCACACATGCAACATGGGATGCATATTTGCCTTGTTCAACAGCGGACATAAGTACTTGCATTTATTTGCGGCCATCGCTGTTCTATCTCGACAGCTAAATATGACAGGGTCGCTCGACTTCTTGGGTCCCAATCTTGGGACGTGCTAGTCGCTGAATAATACATGAAACAAAAGACAGCCTCCAACCTACTAGTGGTGAGAGGGATGCGTCACGCAAGCTGTCGTAAGCTCCGCACAGCCTCTCCAAGACTTGTGACAAGCGCTCACGCAGTGCAGCCTTGACAGACCCGCAAACAAAGGAACAGGCCCTTGTCAAAAAGCTGACCCCTTGCCACCGCAAGTAATCGTTGCAAATACCTGAAACAAAAACACAAGAAGAGCGAAGAACCAACGAACAAAGAAAGAGCTATTCATCAACATCTATAAATTTGTCATCTACTGTATAGTCTTCCAATGTCTTCCACCCCAAGCCACAGCATCGCCACTCTCCCAGAGCGCTTCTTTGGAACAGTCCTGCCTGAGCACCGGCCAGTTCAGTCTCCAGCCGCTTTCGCAGATCAGCACCTGAAGAGGCCTTCAGCATCTCTGCGGAGGATATGGATGTGACAAAATGCTTTCTCTCCCCATCTTTACGATGTCTTTTGGTAGATTGTCTCTTGAGGCGTCAAGAAAACTTTGGCATGGAGGCCCTCAATCAATTGGGGCTCTCATCACACATGGTGAGAAAATGAGATGTCCGTACTGTTGGTGCTTTGCTACATGGTGCTGGCACCACGAGACCTGAATCAGAACCTTGCACAAGAAAAATGGACACTCACAAGCGCCATTATGCACAGACAGGACAAAAGTTGAATCCTAAAGGGGATCACAGCGGAATTCCGGCGGAGTATTTTCCACCCCGAAGTGTATTGTGTTTGAATCCGGGGTGGAAATTCCTCCACCGGAATTCCATTGGGAAAGAGAAGTCATGTCAATGAGACTCTGGAGGGAAGCTGTTACCAAACTGTCTGGCCACATCACAATTGACTCCCCAAGCATGAGATGAACGAACTTCAAGACCTCTGAGGCTTCTGTCGCTTTTCAAATTGGATTGAGCCTATTTGAGATACACACCTGCTGTCCTACTCACCGAAGGTTCGAGGATACCTGTGGATAATACCATGCACAGGATCAACGCTGACAGTGCCAGTTCTGCTGTCCTGCTGCTGCTCGGCGGCTGTCAGGCGAGAGCGGAGCTGGTCAATCTCCTCGGATGTCGCTCTTGAAGCTCTGTGGAAGGCTCTCTCAAAGGGTACACCCAAGCGAGAATCAGCCTCTAAAATCTGAAAGAGTTCCTTTTTGTTAATTTGTAGCCAATGGAGATCAATGGTAATGGATGCCTTTCAAATTCAGGTTACACTTTGCCACCTGGATCAGAATATCAACATCGTGTGGGCTGGCAAGAACTCAAGAAAAACACAAACCCTCTGGCCATGGAGCCCTTGGATGCTTTCTGCATCGCACCGCTACTTAGGCCCAGACTGCCCGGACGCCTTCCAGCAAGTCTTTGCTGAGATGCGCCTGGAAAATCAATCTTGGCTGGTTGAAATGCGCTTAAAGCGCGTGAACGCTGAAAAACCCATGCGCATGCCTGACTGCAACAATGATCTTGTCTCGTTGTTCCCTGAAAGCCCTCAAGGTGGGATACCTACCATGTCCGGAAAATACCTACTTTCAAGAACCTACCATAGGTAACCACACGGAAATATCTCTTGCCAATCCGCAATACTTGCGCTCCCCTGTAAGTGACAAGAAGCCGTCTGCAGTTTACCTCGTTCTCAAAGGCTCCGATTCCCAAAACTTCCCACTTGACGGTGCCTCCAGGGTCTTTTCCAGCCCTTCAAGTCTTTGTCTTGAGCTCGAGCTTTGACTTTCCAACGCCGCCTCCCATCTCAGCTGATGGCCGTCGCTCAATCATCCAATATAAGAATAAATAAGAGTATTCACCGGCAGTGATGAAGGAGCAAACGGAAGGAGCAGTTGTTGTTATACCTTTTTCGCAGCTGTGACAGCAGTGATCCAATTCTCAGGAAGGAGCAGTCACCGGAAAGCGACGTTCGGTGCACCACGCTCGGCGCACCTTGTCGGTGGACCACGCCCATTGAGCCGCCTGCACGGTTTTCGAAACAGAGTTCCTGGATGGTCCCTGGGTCTTTCCTCTACCTCCAAAATTGGGGTGCATTCAAACCTCTCATCCCTCAAAATCTCACCCTTAGAATCACTGCAGAACCGGAATTCCATTTCTTAGCTCTTGCGTCATTGAAACGTATTTTCATTCTGCGTTCCCACACTTTGTCTTGTCTGGTCGGTCGACACGACATAACTACCCGCCACGGAGCTGTCATGCCTGGAGCTCTTCCGCCGTTCGGTCTTGACGCTTGCCGCTCTCCTCCAGGCGAAGCTCCAACTCCTCCAGCCTCGCGAGACTGAAAAAGCAAAAGCTGAGTTTACTTGGACAAAGTTAGGTTGGAGGCCATTGCTTCTGGGTTGGAAGCCATCGCTAGTAGGTGGTAGGTTGGAGGATCGGTTGGAGGCCATCGCTAGTAGGTGGGAGGCCATCGCTAAAAGCAATCGTTTCGTGTCCGGTTGGGGGAATCCTTCCTCTTCCTGGCCCACACATACTGGGTGCTTTTTAAAATTTTTGGCAAGAAGTCTCAAAAAGAAAAGAAGAGATAAGGAAAAAGGAAGGTAATGTAAGGGATGGTAAGGGTATAGATTTAGGTGCCTAGCCTATGCTGTCCTTACTCCTTACTACACCTGCTACTCCCACTGCCCAGCCTCTTCAGTGCACGCTCAGCGCTCATGCGAGCCTGCTGTAGATCCTCCTCGTACGCCTCGTAGCGCCAGGTTCAAGCGGCTCAAATCGTACCTGTTCTTGTGTTTTCCGATGATCTCTTGAGCCTTCAGATGGTGAGGTAGACACTGGGGAGGAACTCGGGTTGCCCTAGTTCTGCTTGGCAGCCTTATGTCTGACACCAGTCACCAGGCCTTCTGCATCACAGCATCCTTGTCCTGGCTTCAAGTGGCAGGCCGTTACCGCGAAGGCAGAACCACACAACCACAAGCACCACACACCTTCGCAGATTGACGAGACATGAGTTCTTGCATAGAGCCTTGATAGGTCATGACAGGTCACTAGGTGGGTCACTACACTACGGAAGAAGTATTGAGAAGTGCTTGGACTTCATTGCTTTGGGCATACAGGTTCACTGCAATGCTTGCATACCAAGCACATCCTAAAACCATCTAAAATCCGGTTGACACCCATGATAGTCCATGCAATGATCCAGCACAAGTTGCTCTCAGGTGTCAAGGCCAATCCACAACAACAGAGCACCTGATTGAATGTCTCATAGCGAGACTGGTCTAGTAGCGTCCTTGCTCCTAGTACCGATGCCCTTTGTTCCTAGTAGCTGCTTGTTCCTAGTCAGGCCAGGAGCTACTAGTAGCGTCCC